TAAAAGATAATTAAAGAAGGGTTTGAGATTTTATCCTTAAGGCAATGATCCTCCTCTATCTTTATATGGCCCACAACTTTTCTATAGAAATGTCACTCTTCTTGTTTTCAAGAATTGTGGTAGTCGGACCAAGACTTCGGCAGCTTCTCGATAAACATTGGTTTGTAAACTTCACATTTGCATCCCTTCGCCTAGTATGCCAGCCATCAGCTTCTCATAGTCATGGACTTGATCCATGATAGTTTTTTTCATCCGTCATCTGGAAATTTAGCCATTCACCAACGACATATTTCTTCATGCCAACATCATCAATTTATTACTTCTCCAAGGTGTCTCAGATCGCCTTTGTACTTTTTCTTGAGAAACATATCGAACAGTTTATTTGACATATGACTTAGGAGAAAGCATCGAACAGTTTTTGTTGTTCTCCTCGTATTTTTTCAAGGATGCCTTGGTAGGAGCGGCGGTACCTGTGGGCTGAAGAACTTGACTTATGGGATTGGGAGTGGAATTATTACAAACAACACTAAAAGCAACACCCAAAGACGAAGTAATGATTTGAGGTAGCGGCTTAAGTAGCACTTAGTCGAGGTCATATTGCTCGAAAAAATGATGATGTGCTGGGACCATCGACGATAGTTTGAACTGTTAAGTGCATCGAGCTTGGAAGGAATGGTACAAGCTTGCTCAAGGATTGACATTATTTTTTAGTATCGATAATTAACTTCTAAATTATTGAAATAGTAACTACAAACATAGTCGTTAACACTGGCTAAAATATAAATAAAAAAATTAATTAATTTATAAGTACTTCTGCAGACGAAACAGAGAAACAAAGACATGAGCTATGGAATTAATTTATTGAATGTAAAATTACATCAATAAATCTGTAAATGACTGTAACAGTTGGGAAAAAAAATCTGTAAATGACTGTAACAGTTTGAAAAAAAAGACTTACACCTATAAACCAAAATAGTTTAAGTTTATAATTGAAATATACAAAAAAAAAATATAATAATTGTTAAATTACAATAATAAAATTTTGAAAATTCTATCCATTCCAAAAAAATAATTAGTTTCACATTTTTTTTAATAAATACAGTATAGAAATTTCATTTCAATTTTTTGAAAAAAAAAATCTTAAATAAATTCTTACGAATTTTCTCTTTAAAATTCCGAATTTAAATTACAGTAATAAATTCTGAAAATTTTATCATACCAATTCAGAGAAATAATCCATTTCAATTTTTTGTGTATATATAGAGTATCAGAAATGAAAATATTTTCTTTTAAAAAATTCTTACGAATTTTCTATAAAAATTTAAGAATTAGAGAATTTTTTTCAAAAAAGAAAATATTTAACATTACGTGTCGAAACACATAATTACAATGACCACAATGGTGGTAACAACGGCACACATAAATTGTTTAGCCACATTCAATACAAAGGAAAAATGGTATCGCTTTAAATACCTTCTCAAAGGTATATTCAGCTTCTCAAAGGTATATTCATATTTCATGTTCAATGTCGGATAAAAGTTTAAAAACATAGTGGCGCTTAGGGATGACAAACGAGCGGGTCGGGTGCGGATACCCCCTCCCCATCCCCATACCCATCTAATATTTTTTAATCCACCACCCATGATAGGTAAAATTTTCAAATCCCACCCGCCCACGCGGTAAATTCTCAAATTCATCCCCACACCCACTATCCAACTAGAGATGTACCCGGCTAGACCCACTTGACAACAAACTTAAATTATACATAAGCAACAAACACATAAATAAAACTAGTACCACTACAGCAAAACTGGCTTGTTGCGGCGTTTTTTTTTTACTTATAGCGGCGTTTTTAAGCATCGCTAAAAACACATGCGGCGTTTTGACAAATGCCGCTAAAAGCGCCGCTGAAATAGCGTCGCTAAAGTTTGGGCATTTTTCAAGAAAAAACGCCGCAATAGGTGTTGATATTTAGCGGCGTTTGACAGACAAACGCCACAATAGATGTTGATATTTAGCGGCGTTTGGAAGCCAAACGCCGTAATAGATGTTGATATTTAGCGGCATTTGGAAGACAAACGCCGCAATAGGTGTCGCTTTTTAGCGGCGTTTTTCCCAGAAACGCCGCAGTAGGTGTTGATGTTTAGTGGCGTTTTTATCACAAACGCCGCAATAAGTGTTAAGGTTTCGCGGCGTCTTTAGCTTAAACGCCGCAATATGTGTTTGATTTGGCGGCGTCTTTAATACAACGCCGCTAAGATTTGTATATAGCGGCGTTTTAGAATACAAACGCCGCTAATTACACAGAATTTAACAGTTCTAAAAATTATGCTGAATGCCCCAAATCTTTTTTTCAACCTGTTCCATTATCCAACAAACAAAACAACAATAACATCAAAATCTATATCCATAACAAGCAACATCAAATCCAATATAATAAATAAAAGTTTTCATTAACATAATATAAGTTCAGTGAAACACGGTCCAGTAACATTAACATAATGCTCATAACATAAATGAGTCTACGATGGTGGATTCTGAGGTTGCGTTTTCTGTATCATCAGCATCATATCATTGAGTCGTTTTTCAAATTCTTCACATCTCTGCTGATATGTTGCCTCTCTTTGTGCTGCCGCTGCCTCTCTTTGTGCTGCCACTGTTTCTCTCTCTGCTTCCGCTGCTGCTCTGGCTGCTTCCGCTGCTGCTCTCTCTGCTTCCCTTGCTTCATTTTCCGCTTTCAAGTTAGCCATTTGTTGATCCATCTAAGCTAACTTTTCTTTTAAACGACCAACTTCTAATTGGAAGATCGAGACTGTGATGACATGTACTGATGAACTAGATCCAAAATATTTGGTGGGAGTAACGAATGATCCTTGACAGCGCACCCGACCATATCTTTCAAGACCCAAAACGTCATTAATAGAACAAAATTTAGAAAGTTTTCGACTCCATTTCGATATTCGACGCTCACCCTTGAGAAATCCATCCAAGTTTTCGACTCCATTTCGTCTTTCTGGAGTTTCAATTACAAATGTTATGCTAATATTATACAGAACAAATAGAACCTAAACATAAGCTTTGAACTTCCTATTTAGTGCATAATAATATTAAGATGAATATAGAATAATCACTCCTACATTATGAAATTTTAAATTACTAAAATTGTATGGGAGCAAGTGTATCTATGTTATTTTATAAAAATATAAGGGTGAATATATAAAACTGCATAGTATAGAACTAATCATTTTCACAGATGTTTCATTGAAATCAAGCATTTATATCTAAATAACTCATGTTTCAATGGTAAAGATAGAGGCATGAAGAACTTACAACGGAGTTCATTACCTTTGTTCCATGTCAGACAGGTTCAAGAAAAATAGAAAAATAGTAACCCAAAAGTATAACGGATAGAAGATTACCTTTGTTTCTTGACAAATGAGTTCCTCAGAAACGAATAAAATTTGAGATGCACAACTCAATTAGCACCTACGAAGACAGAAACAGATGAATTATTGATTTTAATCACTGATACTCAATTAAAGAAAATACTGAGAAAAACTAGGAACACAAGTGTTAGTTAAAAAACTAGTTTATGAGTAAACATGTAAACATGTAAATCAGAGAGAAAAGCTTAACACTTTATGAGTAAACATGTAAATCAATTGCAGTCACTATAGGACTGGTAAAAATACATAAATAAAATTAACTTAGATCTCAACCAAAGTGTGTATATTAAGCAAATAAAAATCACTTTATTATAAATTGGACTATAAAGCTATAATAAAACGATTAAAATTAAAATTAAAAATTGGATCTCCGCTGTTGTGTCAAGTGTTAATTACAAATAACCTGTTCTTGTTTGAATCAGATCTATAGATAAACGTGTTCAAGCAGACATGGAGGTCTTACAGAAGCACAACCGGCAGAATCTATAAACGCTCTAACATTGTTTATAGTGTCATCTGTTTGATCAAGCGAAATACATCTCAAAACTCCTCAAACTAACCATGTAGACATTAACAAGGAACTTGGAAGTTGCTAATAAAGGATAAAGAAGACCATCAGTTTCCTTTTCCCCCCAGTGTTCACTTGATTTATTCGATATTATTTCCTTCGCAAAATCAATCCAGAAAAGGAAAAGAAAGAACTATATTATATAATGTAAGAAACATATTTTGTTGGTAAGATGTAACACTTATGTAAGTTACTTTACTCTTCCAAATTCATTCTTGCTGTTAGTTGGTGAAGCAAATCTAATAAAGTGAAAGCTTTTTAGCAAACTAATGGTAGATCTGAGGGTAATAATGCGTGCATATGTAATGGATTGTCTCATGAAAGGGTAAATAAAGAAATACCTCATTTTCATAAAGGTTTTGGCTTAACCAATCTCAAAATATAAAATAAAGAATGCAACATTCAAAGGAAAAAAAAGAGGCCAATCTTTACTTTCGGGTACTAACTATTCTGTCTCACTCGTCTCATACATGATACATATTTAACTATGTTTACGCTTTTCTTCTTCATTTTTGAATGGTTGAACAGTAAAAAATTCAAATTATTTATCTTTGTTCACATGGAAAGACAGATTTTGCATAGGATACCAAATTAGAAAGTTATATTAGAAATTTCAAGATTTAAAATGAGATTATTATTAAAAAAAGTACAAATAAAATACCTCTACAATACGAGACTTTAGAATTTTGATGGGTGACCACACCCAGTATCCTTTAGTACATCCTGAATTCAAATTATTTATTCAATTAATTTTCAAAAACAAATAATTCTTGATTTTCATGGTAAACTCGGATCACATTTTCAAGTTCGATTGAGACTCACACAAAGGTTAACCGAATCACACAAAGTGGAACTTGCATTCATTTATACAAGAAAAACTAACGATTCTGAAATAACTACATGGTCAAACAAGACAGAGGAACGAAGGCAAGTACGAAATAACTACATGGTCAAACAAGAAAGAGGAACGAAGGCAAGTAAGTACCTTAGCTGCTCTTCCAAGGTTTAAGGACTCCAACAACTATAACATCAACTATGATTAGGAGAATCAAAATGGCGATGCACATCCTCTTTCGTGTACTCTTCTGTCGATTCTTTGCTTTTTGAAGGGCAACCGTCCCTGACTGGACATTACTGACTGCAGTTGAAACCTGAACAAGATTTCATTAACGCACAATGCCAAGCAAAAACACACCACTCGACCTAATATGCATACTAATAAATACTTGGTAAACCACCCATTCTAAGAGATTTGAGAATATGAACAAACCTGACTTTCGATGTTGTCTAAAATTTCTCCTTCTGCTTCAACAAGAACTGTAAAATCAAGGTAAATCTGACAATAGCAACCCCATTAGAAAAGTTAACTCGGTTTAGTCCATAATACATGCTAATGTGCATCTCACGTTGAATCAACTACTAAGCCTAACCTGGGTATCGCGAAAAGCTTCTCATTTTCGTCGCGTAATTTTTGTTCCGAGTCTGAAATCAGAGAGAAATCGAAGGGAAACAAGGGAAGAAGGGTTAAGAAATGCTGGGTTGGATTTGGGATTTTACTTATCGACCGAAGAATGGTGTACTACTTGCGACGACGTTGGAGGCGAAGGAAGCTGGGCGCAGTGAAGGAGATGGCTTCTGTAATTGGCGTGAGGGAACGGATAATAGTGATGGAAAAGAGGGCTAGGGCTAGAGGAGAATTAAAACGGACTTTGCGGCGTTTAAATATACAAACGCCACTGAAGGGTAACCAATTGCGGCGTTTTTAATTAAAAACACAACTAATGTTAAAAATTTGCAGCGTTTTTTGTCAAAACGCCACTAAAGTACGCATCATTTGCGGCGTTTGTTAGCAAAACGCTGCTAAATTACTAATACTTTGCGGCGTTTCTACGAAAACGCCACTAAAGTACGAGTCTATAGTGGCGTTTTCATACGAACGCCACTAAAGTAGAAGTCTATAGCGGCGTTTTCATACAAACGCCACTAAAATACAAATATTTTGCGGCGTTTTTTATAAAAACGCCACTATATAATACACCTATTGCGGCGTTTGTAAAAAGCCGCCGTTATTGTACTACTCATTTGCGGCGTTTATATCTAAAAACGCCGCAAAATGTTTAATATATAGCGGCGTTTTTGGATACAAACGCCGCTAAATACCTTTATTTATATTAGATTAGCATATTTTAAATATTTCATTTCTTCTATACATAACCTAAAGTTACAACCATACATTTTAATTAAAACAGAAGTACTTATGCATAAAACTACTTAACAACAAAATACATTATAATTTAGAAACATTAAAGTACTTATGCATAAAACTACTTAACGACAAAATACATTATAATTTAGAAACATTAAAGTACTTATGCATAAAACTACTTAAAAACAAAATACATTATAATTTAGAAACATTAAAGTACTTATGCATAAAACTACTTAACGACAAAATACATTATAATTTAGAAACATTAAAGTACTTATGCATAAAACTACTTAAAAACAAAATACATTATAATTTAGAAACATTAAAGTACTTATGCATAAACAGTCTTCACCATATTGTTCAGTACAATTTAGTCTTCATTGCTCTTTCGTGGGGAAAGGACGTAGGAAAGCTGTTTTCCTTGTTTGACGACGCATCGTTAAGTTTTTCCTCCGTGTAAATTCTATATGGAGAAACTCTTCATCCATTTCACCAAATAAATCCCTACCTCCGGTTCACCAAGAAGACTCCTTGCGCGCTTCAGTGCTTCACTTGAAACAAATAACGACCCTCCTCCTACAGTATAAAACTTGATTGGAGGTGCTTGGGAATTGAATCAAACATTAAAATATATTTAAATAGATGATATAAATGTTTACTTGGAGTAACAGTAGAGGCCACGTAGACATTCCGACGATAATTTCTCTTACTCAAGGCAAGACCTGCTCTTTTTTTCTCAAATATGTTAGCTTTCTGGGTTTTCTCCATTTTCATAATACCAACCAAAACAAATTGAAAAAGATCAGGAGCTAAGATAAGAGGATCAAACCGTGGAATTGTGTTATAGTTCGTCGGAGAGGGCCGATTTGGTCGCCGGGATAGACAAAAGACGACGTCGCTTGGAATCGTGTGAGGGTTGTTGTTGTACCAGAGAAGAAACTGTGAGGGAAGAAGAGTTGAAATGATTTTAGGGTTTGGGTGGGAGAAAATGGAGGATAATATATTTAACATTTTGTGGCGTTTTTACAAAACGCCACTATATCAAATGTTTTTTGCGGCGTTTGTCTAAAAACGACGCAAAAACTATTATTAATTGCGGCGTTTGTTGAAAAAACGCCACTATATACCATCATATGGCGGCATTTTTCACAAAAACGCCGCTATATTTATACTATTTTGCAGCGTTTTCACAAAAAACGCCGCGAAAGTATCAATTTGTGGCGTTTGAAATGAAAACGCTGCTATATGTAATACTTTTGTGGCGTTTTATCATAAAACGCCGCTGAAAAAGCCGCTACAGAACACTTTTGCTGTAGTGTACTTACTCATTTTTCCCTAAACTGATATCAAATAGTCTAAGCTACATTCCAATCCGAATTTCAATACGTTTACACAGTTTCGATAAGTTTTGAACTGTTCCAACCAATATCAATGCATGCAGATTGATATAAAATTTCGACATTTTAACTAAAAAATGAGTATTTTATTATACAATCTCTTCCAATATCCTAAGACAGTGAATCCTTTATACCAAAAACACCACAAAATCCAACATCATTTGAAGATCGGTAAAAACTTGATAGTAACACATGAAATTGAGAAATACGTAGAACTCAGACTGCCTTTGAAGATCGGCGCAGTAATGAAAATGAAAGGAAAAAAAATTATGCATAAACTTAACTTATCCCTAATATTTGGTTAAATAACAAGTTATATCTTATACAATATTAGGATTTATAAATTAGTCTATAAAATTAGACCTAAATTCATAATGTCCAAAATGTACTGGATATTTAGTTGGGCGGGCGGATGCGGGACGGGTAAGATGTCAAACCCATTACCCGCCCACTACCCGCGACGGGTACCATTTTCTAAATCCACACCCGCCTACTACCCACTAAAATTATACCTATCCCCGCCCCAATCCCAATTGAAGCGGGTGTGATGCGGAATCCACGAAATTATACCGTTTGCCATCCTAGTGACGCTTACAAGTTACAACCACATGGAGCAAGTAGCACAAGTTCATAAACAGACTTAATATTATATGCTGTCCATATATGTCTCAGCCGAATCCACGGACTTGTTTCCACCTTCATGTGTCTTGCCAATATCCTCACGGATCCTGGCTCTTATTCTGCAGCTGCTGATACATATAGCCCCGGACAAAATTCCCAATCCACGACAGCGATGAAAGTCCAGTGATCCCGAAAGCTCCAGAGGTCAAGAATCCGGCTACAGAACCGGCAATGAGAAGAGCAGCAGGGACCAAAACTGGGCTGAAAGTCAGGAAAATTGGCGCCGCCATAGCAAGGCCTATGAGAGATCCAATAAAGCTCATACCAGAAAGCAAGAGAAGGGTGCCACCGATAGGAAGGAGCGTGGCGACTGTAACAACTTTTGATGTGGAGGGACCATTTTCATGGAAGAAATACTTCATGTTATCTGTTCGGTGGAGTTGCTTGCGGTGCTCAGCCATGGCTAATACTTTAGGGGCTGGTTTTGTTGGCTCACTGGAAACAAGAGTGGAAAGATGAGGGAATGAACTCTCCATTTAAGGAAACAGAGGGGCTGACGCGTGGAGTTTGGTGACAGTTGTTTAATAGATAGTAGTGTAATGTGGTCTGCGTGAATGTATTTTCTTTAGATCTAAAGAGACAATAACAACCCTGATAAAAATATTATAAAAATAGATAAATAAAACCATCTACTAGTTTTATACGAAAAGAAGAATACTTATTAAAAAATAAATTAATTAGATTATAAGAGGAAAAAATAAAAAAAAATCAGTGATTGATGATTAAATACTACAATTGATGATAAAAATACAAAAAAAATTAAAAAAGCGAACTATTTCTACTAGGATTGATGATTAAAAATTAGATTATAAATGTATGGAAAGAAATTTACTTGGAAGTGAAAGTTTAATGTTAAAGAATGAGTGAAAGAAAAAGAGAACTACTCAGATTTACTGCACCGATATTGAAAGGAATTTACTTGGAAGTGCAAGTTCAATATTAAAGAATAAGTCAAAGAATAACAATATTGTTAATATACCTAAAGTTACAAACCCTAATTTAGTTGATTTGATGTTTTCTTATAATATCATTAAATGTAGAAACAATATATTAACTTTTGAGTTCGAAAATCTCGTAGGCCCTGGCATTCGTAATCGACTGTTATCACCAGCTACCAAGTAGCGATAGCCTGGTAGCTTTTTTTTATTCTTTCTTTTCTTTATGTTTATGATAAAAGGGGATTCTAAGAAAGGTCATAGTAATATTTAAAAAAAAACGGCATAACCGAAATTTAAAAAGGAATTTAATATAAGGGGGAATGTGGGGATTGTGGGATTTTCATAGGATGAGAATCTCACATTCCCATATTTGGTTAGTCGGGAATCTCATTCCCAGTAATGTTTTATTACCAATAGTAGATTTTTTTGGGTATATTACCGTGAATGTCATTACCGGTAATATAAGATTACCTGTGAGAATAAAAGATTACCAGGGTGTGTTTGGTTCACGTAATGTAAGATTATTTGTGGGAATAAAAGATTACCAGGGAATAGGATTACTGGGAATGTTGTATTTTGTGTTTGGTTGGTTTAGCAAGAATGTAAGATTACCGTGTTTGGTTAAAGGAATAAAATATTAGAAAGAATGTAAGATTACCGTGTTTGGTTAAAGGAATAAAATTATTAGAATGTATATTTGATTAAATTATCCTTATTATATTTGTTTTTTAACAAGTTAGAAAATATTTATATATTTTCTTTAAAAAATTTAAATTCATAAAATTTATATAATTTATTTTACAAAATTGAAAATATAAAAATATTTAATGAAAGGGTAAAATTTTATTTTAACCCCTGAATTTCATATAAAATTTTAATTATAGACTTTTTTTTGTAAATCTAAAATAATTTAAGGATAAATTTACAATTTAACCTTCGTAGAATTTTTATTATTCAATGACATAATAATGATATTTTTTAAAGAAATTTTTTTAAGGGCATTTTAGTCCAAAACGTCGATAATCCAACAATACCTAAGGAAAGGGAAGTAATGACATTCCCGGTAATATATCCCAAAAAATCCACTATTGGTAATGTAAGATTACCGGGAATGACTTTCCCGACCAACCAAACGGGGGAATGTGGATTCTGTTCCCATGGGAATCTCACATTCCCCCAACCAAACACACCCTAACCGGTTTAATGGCACGGGAAATCTTAACCTATATATAATATATTTAGTTGTAATTATTTTAAAATAACTTAAAATAATATAATTGAGAAACTTATTTACAGGTTGAAAGTAAATACAATATTATATAAGGTAAGAAAATGAGTTATAAACTGTAAATGTTACGAATATTTATAAGAAATATGGTTACGCTTAAAAATGCCATGGTTCATTAAGAAATAAGTTTTGATATAGAATGTTAATATTTTTAATAATAAAATGTGTTACGCCAAAAAATGTCATAGTTCACTAAGAAATAGTTGCGATATGAAATGTTAATATTTTTATTAATAAAATGGGTTGCACCAAATAATGTTATAGTTCACTAAGAAAGTAAGTTGTGATATGAATATTAATAATTTTATTATAAAAAATAAAAAAAATATGGATACTTTTACACAAGTATCGATACTTTCGAATTAAAAAAATTAGAAAGTGAGAATACTGCAAAGTATCGATACTTTTGAAAAAGTATCGATTTTAAATTCGAAAGTTAAAATATCATTTCATATTTTTTAAAATTCGAAAATATGATACTTTTTCACAAGTATTAATACTTTTCAATTAAAAAATGAAAATGAGAAGATTGCTTAAAGAAAACATAAAAAATGAGAAGGTTGTAAAATATGAATATTTTTCTAAAAGTGTCGATACTTTTAAATTCTGAAGTTAAAATATTATTTCTTATTTTTTTAAAATTTGAAAAGTACGGATCCCTTTCACAAATATCGATATTTTCAAAAAAAAATATATAAATTTTGATATTTTAAATTTTGATCTTATCTTCAACTTTTTCAATATTTAAAAGTATCGATAATAATATGTTAAGTATCAATATTTTTGAAATGTTTTTTATTTTCTGGGCAACCTATTTTATTAATAAAAATATTAACATAACATATCAAAAATTATTTCTTAGTGAACCATAACATTCTTAAGCGCAACTTATTTTATTAAAAAATATTAACATTACATTACATATGGTAGTTTACTTTCTTAATGAACCATAATATTCTTGTGCTCAACATATGCAACAACCCAGAAATTGGAATATATATATATATATATATATATATATATATAATTGAAATTTGAGGATTTAATTGTGTAATTGGTGAAAATTGGGGACTAAATTGAAAGTTTTCAAAACTTGTAGGTTGTTGTAGAGTTTAAGTAAATTCAAGGACTAAACCCTAAATTTACTAAAAAAAAGTGTCGGCATACACTCTTTTAAATGCAGAATCAGATGTGCGTGGGGTGAATTATTAAAAAAAATTATAAGTTTTCTTCCTTTCAACACCTAACTTTCAACCACGATCCCGACGCCGTCTGACCTCTGATCGTTGTTTTGAAAACACCATCGTGTTCATAATCAAGCAAGGAACAAATCCTTTAAATTAATTAAAGTGAAACACTGCCAAACGCCGGGAATTTCAAGTCAAAGTCTCGACTTTTTTTAGCTCCATCGATGAGAAAATCTTAAATTCGTCGCCGATCGTTGCTCCGTTTTCGACACCTCCCGCACCATCGTGTTCCTTGTGTCGTTTTGAGTTCGTCGGTGTCATCCTTGGTCTTCGTTGACGGTGGTGTATGAGGAGGTGAAACAGTCAAAGTTTTTGATTCGTTGAAATCGAGCTCTCCGCCGTTCAAAAATTGGAACCGAGCTTTTTAAGTATCTAGAAATCGCTCAAAATAATTTTTAGGAATTTTTTCGTGATTTATAGGACGTCGGAGGAGGTCCCACGTGCCCCCACGCGCCTCCACTGCGCTTGGGGAAGACTCGGCCGCTGCCTTGTAATCGGTTTGATCGGTTTTTGACCGGTTTGACCGGAATGAACCGGTTTGACCGGTCTGAATCGGGTTGATCAGTTCGACCCGACCCGTTGACCCGACCAGTTGACCCGACCCGTTGACCCGACCGTTGACCGGGTGGTATTTTGGTAATTATTTTGAAAATGGTGGTATTCTGGTAATTATTTTGAAAATGGTGCTATTTTCGTAATTTTCTTAAAAATGATATTTTAGTAATTATTTTGAAAATGGTGATATTTCGGTAAATATTTTTTAAAAGGGTGATAATTGTGTAAAATGGTGGATTATCTGTTGACAAATGTTGACCTACTTTGACCGGCCATTAAACGACCTTTAATATTTTTCGAGTATACATATCCTGACATTTATCAATATTTTAAATCTGTTTTTGGGGTTCGTTTCACCAAATTTGAACCCTAAAGTCTCCTAATTGTTAGTCAAACCCATTAACTTTGATTTTGACCAAGAATTCATAATTTCGGAAGGTCATACTTTACGTTTTTCGACGTCCTGAATCTGATTCCGAAGTCCGTTTTGCTAAATTCTAACCTGAAATCCCCGAATCAAGCATGTGAATCCAAAAGGCTTGGTATTTTAATATTTTGATTATTTATTTGAGTTTTGGTTAAGGAATTGATTCAATAAAATATTTTATGAAGGTACTCGTGTTTCACCTGAGCGAGGATCAGTTAGGTCTGGAGTTGTTCGTTCGTCAGATCAGCCTGAACCGATTTTAATTGTTTTCTGTAATTCTGTATATGATTCGATTTTTATAAAGATAGATTATTTATATTAGGATTTCAATATGGATTTTTATAATTCGTAGGATCTAACGCTGCAGCAGAGCGTGATCGACAAACCCATTAGTAGGCTTCCCTATCTGATTTCTCAGACTGTTACAGGTTTGTTTCCCGACAGCTGTTTTAAAATATCGATCTGAATACCTTTTGTTTGATATATGAATTATGGCACACTTATGATATGATCTATGGTTACGGTATATTTTTATACCTGATTTCTGAATATGGCTTATCTGATATATGATTTACTATACGTTAATGATTCGATTTTAATTGTTTTCTGTAATTCTGTATATGATTTCTAAGCATGAAACATTTTCTTGTTTTAAAGGATTAATCATTGTTTTCACTCGGATGCATTCATGTTTATTAATATCATTGGGGGATATATATTGGAGGAAGAATATATGCAGGCTCCTCGGCTGTGTGCTTAGGGCCTTACTGTTGTGCCAGGGTTGTATGGTTCTGGGGAACCTACACATTCTGTTGTGATCGGATGGGGGTAGTGTTCATATTTTTAATGACATGTTTGCATAAATCGATTTTGCTGAATTTTTTTTATCAGTATGTTTTTATATACACTGTACGGAGCGCATTGGGCTTTTTAGCTAATTCTGTAG